ATGAAGGGCATCCAGTTTGGCACTATATTTTAGTGTGCCTTTTTACGCAAGTAACTTATTTTTGGCTGTGCCCGAGATCTACCGACAACCTCTGTCATGCTGAGTTTATTTAAAGAGTCATCGAAACAGCAAGTAATAGTATGACTTAGAAAAGGTAGGGGGTAATAAAGAACTTCGCATTTAGGGTAGGGCAGATGGTGAATGGCACTTAGTACTTTAAAGGTGGTATTTTATGAACTTTAGAATTTTAATACAGAATCAGAGATTGTTTCTCTTATAAAGACTATTCAAAAGAGATTAAATGTTTCAGAAAATGCTGTATTTCTGAAAATCATTTGGTGTCTTTGGTGAAATGGCTATCAATAGGGACATCTCCACATTTTCTTACACATGCCAGCATTTCTTTGGCAGTTACATCTTCTTTTTGTAAATCCTTTCTTCTTTCCAGGACTGTAATTTATGCTGGTATATTCTGGTCTGGGATGTTGATACACATTTGTGTAGTGGTTTAAGAAACTTCAGTCACACAGTATTCCACAGCAGAGAGGTAACCTCCAGCTAAAGACAGTGCTTCATCACCGAGACTGCGTTGCAGACTCCCATCAGAGTACGTCTTCACTTCCACCGCCACCACTTTTAACTTCTCAGGGTGCAGCCGGTGGCACTGCTTTTATTGAGGTTTATCCCCTCGCTGCAATGATAGCAAAGAAGCTGTTCTCTTGATATGAAATGTGAGAATTCAAATTCTTCTTGAATTCTTTCTGGTCAAGTTATCTTACCCACTGCTTTTAAATTCCTTGTTTGCCGTGAAAGGAGCAAAGACTCTTTATTCTCATGCAGTGTGAAGCTGGTTTTGTTCAACAGCTAGAAAGATGCGAGCGTCCAAGAGAATCTCAAAGCCTCAGATATTACACGTTGACCTTGTCCCTTGTCAGGACTGTTCTGTGTGATGATAGCATTTTATTTTCCTGAGGAGATCAGAAAACTGTTCGCTTTTAGTGGTGTTCCTGATGCTGGATGCCTAAAGAGGGGGTAGAGCCAAGATGATGCTCGTGCTGTGACTGCATTGACAACCGTTTATGTATCTCCTGGAAAAGAATAAACTATTTCCTGCATCTTTTCACACTAGACCTGGCAGACCTTGCAGCTGATGGCTGGGGATGGCCCTGTTCCCATTAGAGCAGTGGCTTTCTGCCATGCATTTGGATTGACTGAGAGTGAGTTTTGTAACAGTCAACTTTCTCAGTTACCTTTCCTGAACCCAATCTCCTTAAAGAGGTTGTTCTTTAAAAAACACAGATGCCAGCTGAGCCATCTGATGGGCAGAGAACGATGATATTGGCAGTAAGTTTAGTATAAATACAGAGGGGTTTACTTTCACCTTATCAAGTACAGGAACAGCTTGTTCCACGATTTAAGGATTTTTTTTAAAAATCATGTAATCTCTAATTTAGCTCAGTCATTAATAAGAATGTTCCAATTGTAAAAATAACTCTGGATAATCTAAAAATATGTTTGAAAATGCTTTTAAATACACTAGCACTTACCATTGCTAAATTGTGACAGCCAGTGTAGCGTTATTGGAAAACGTCTTGTTTTCCACTCTGCATTAATACCCATTCAAAATAGGTGTAATGGCTTCTTAAACTTCTAAGAGGTGGAGTTTATACCCAGAGGTTCAAGTGTTCGGGTACTGTATTGATTCATTCAGGAGCCTGCATGGGTTCAAGCAGGAAAGTGGTGCGCTGTGTTCCATTTGTCTCTCACAATGTTGGTGTCACTTATGCTGCTTCGCTACTCCGTTAAAATGCCAGCTCATGCATTGTTTCTAATGAGTATTTTGTAAGATCTTGTGCAGTGTTTCAGACTGCATTCCTGGGGAAGTACCAGGCTTAATGAGGTTATTGAGTTGTGGAGTTGTTACCTGAGGTAGCTGAGAAGTGAAAGTGAGGAGTATCTGCAGGTTACAGTGGAAACCACATCTGAAGCTGGGCAATTCCCAGATTCTGTTCTGAGCCCATCCATGTGCTCTGCTGGTTCTGAACCGTCTTCAAACTTGCACAAGCAAGCGTCCGTCCTTCAGAAATGTACTGTGAAACACAATATTTGTAGCTGAGTCCTTTTATCTCTTCACAGCAGATAGGCAGAAGAGAGTAAAAATAGTGCTTGGCAGCTCGGCTGTGTTTAGGGACAGAGAGTAAGTCTGTCTTAGTGTTATACTCTTCACAAAAATGGTCTGTTCTCTGTGGCTGTGTTTTTTACTTGCCTCTGTGCAGTTTAATTTTAATAATGCATTGAAGCCCAATGTCTGGGCTTCAAGATAAAGTAGTTCTATATTACCTGTCTTTGTCATTATTCTTAATATGCATCCTGAGGACTTGAGCTGTTTACTGGTCCACAGCTATTTAATAATACCTGTCTTTGGCAAAAGACTTTTCTTCAAACTGTGTTTTACATGAGATAACAGTTGCCAATTCCTGTTTCCCGAGACTGGCTTTGCTATAGTACAGAGAACGCCACAGCGTCAGAAAGACTTGGGTGGAGTTGCTGCAAAGGCTGTAGAAATATCCAAGTTCTGTCAGTCCTGTAGTTGGTAAATAAAATTGTTCATCTCCCCATATTGAAGTTCTCTCTGTATGCTGAAGCACCATTATTTTTAATTTGCTTATTAGAGCAATGCTTTGCTGCTTTTCTCCTCCACTTATTTTTCATGCAGCTTATTTTTCCATGCGTCACAGTGAAAGGAGGAGGTACAAATGACTTGGCAACAGAGCAAGCAAGGATGTTGAAAACAGTAAGAGCAACAAAATGTTTCTTCAGAAACATCTGATTTCTGTCATCTGATGTCCCCATATCTGTTCAGACACTTCCCACATGATTGTGGTGTTACTTCAAATTCTGTTTGGTACAATCGATCAAGATTGTGTTTAAAAAGAAATGAAATGAAAAATCCACTAGTGAAAATAGAAGCACGGGGTCAGTGACAGGGTAAATGGGAGCTCACCTGAAAAGAGAAACCTGCTCTTACTACATTTCAGAGTGTGGGTTTTTCAGGGTAGACTGATACATGGATCTCTTCTGCAGTGGCCTCCCAGTGAAACATAGTAGATACAGAAGTTCTTGTCTATCTGAAAAGGCACTTAGGGTCTATTGGGGAAATTTCACAGTTATTGAGAGACTTGAAATTCTATTTAGAAAAAAATCCAGTGAGGTATGCTGGGTTACTTGGGGGTTTCTGTATGTATGTATGTATCTCAGTGAATTCTGCCCTGGATGTCTAATTTCCTAAGTAGACCTAGTATTGAGTGTAGAAGTACCAAAACGTTGGTAATTCTTCCGCTGGGGTTTTTAAAACAGAGCAGCAAGATTTGAGCACACTTACACCGTCAGTCTTCAGTGTAAAACCTGCCTTAGAAATTTCAGACAAAGATGCCGGCATCCTTCAAAAAGCACAGAGGTCTTCTTTTCTGGGTTTCAGAAGAGCTGTTGATACTTAGAGATGTCATGACATAGCTTCTGCCTGTTGAAGAATTGTGTCTTCAAAACTGTGGATAAATCTTCCCAGTCTTTTTGTTTCTTTTGGTTTCAATGCATGAACTTCATTGCTGCTTAGTTTGTATTTTTTTAAGGATAGTAATACAATGTGGTGGTATTCCATGAAAAAACCCCAGCAATTTAGTAGCTTTTATCAATCGCTGTAGGACAGCATCTGATAGAAGCTGATAATGCCAATGCCTTCTGTGTGCATCTGCCTGGTCAGCTGGAATATTCCAGTTTTGTATCCCTAATACCTGTCCAATCTGTGAATCGGAGAGAGAATGAACCGTGCAGTGAGATTTATACCAAACTCTTGTTCTCTGTGTTTTGGGGTGGGCTAGTGCAGAAGGGAAGAGTTTTATTCTTCGCACAGAGAGTACATTTCCTAGGTTTAATTTATGTTTGTTTCTTTGGTAGGATTTTTCCAGTTAAAGATGTACCTGCAGAGCCCGAAGCTCTTACACACTGGCTATATCAGCGATTCATTGAAAAGGAGGATCTCCTGACACATTTCTATGAAACAGGTGGGATGACACCTAGCAAAGAGAATGGTGCTTTGATAATTTCTTTTCTTAAAAGGGTCTCAAAATGATGTAAGAACGTGTATGCATTCTTCACAGGAATACAGCAGATGTAATTATTAATGCTTCTTGTGTGGCAAAAATGTATGATAAAAAATGATCTAGGAAAGGTAAATTACCCCGGTAACGCTAGAATAGGGTAGTGTTCGGAAGCTGGCTCATTCAAAATGGATCTAAGGAAATCCTCTTTTTTTCTCCAATAACATTCAGTTCAGCTGTGAAACTTGCTGCCATGGGATATCGAGTGGAATAAGTCAGCACGATTCAAAGAGTTAGTGAACATTTACATACATAGTAAAAATATTCAGAGCTTATGTTAAGTTTGGAGGGGATATAAAACCTTTAAAATGAGCAAATTCCTGACTAAAAGGGATTAAATAAGACTCTTATGTGAGGTAGGTTATTTTATCTGCTTAGTGCAGCTATTTAGCATGTTCCTCTGGCACTTGTACTGTTAGAGAAAACTGATCCAAGTAGTCCGCAGGTCTAATCCAAACCCGTAGTCCTCTTGTGTCTCCTGTTAAGCTGAGCAGAGAGATGCTGGGATTGGGAGGATCTGCAAGAATTACTCAGCATAAAGCCTCGGGAGCCTTGACCTGCAGCCCTGTGCTGTCAGTCCTGGCCTCTTCGCTGCGAGGTGCTGGAGGTCATGTTAGTGGCTCAGAGGAGTCCAAATAAACTTAGGGCATTAATAACATTACTGAAGAGATACTGGCAAATGGGATTTAAATTATCAGGTAAATACTTTGAAACTACAGCTGGAGAAGTGCTTCCTCAAGCCTTGGGTTTTTTCCATCCAGTTGATACTCAAGTGTGTCGTCTGCCCTCCAGCAAGTGTGTGTGTGTGTGTTCAGAATACAAACCAGAGGAATTAATCAAAATTTTTAAAAAAGGAAAATCCAGAGAGGAAGAAATAAAGAGTTTTATTTAGACATACAGGAAAGGAAGTTCATCAAATGTAGACTGAGTAGGAAGATTCCAGATGAAATAATACAACTTGTCTCTGGAGAAAAATCATCTCTTCATTAGCGAGTAGCACAGTTGTTGAGGGGGTAAAAATAGTCTCTTGAATCGACCGAGTTTAATATTCTGGAGTGACTATGTCAAACAAAGACACTACTTCTGTTAGCTGATTTATTGCAAAGCTTGCTCTGATTTGGTTTTGAGTGTTTAATTGATCAATGGTAGTGCTTAAAAAGATTGATAGAGTTCTTTAACAACCCAGAGTTGTATTTTGCTTATGAAATACTGCTGTCACTCATCTGTCACTGGTGGCAAAAGTCAGACCCTGCTATATAAATTGCATCAAAGTGCATCTATTGGACTTTATTAGACAAATAAATTCATGAATCTGTTTAAAACTACAAGTGTAGTCAATAGGAGGCAAGGCATTCTTGTTATTGAGACATTATTTCACAAAAGCCATTAAAATAAGTCATACCCAAAAAATCTAACTAGACCAGAATTTCAGAGAATTTAATGAATATAATCAGATTTATTCATTGAAATGCACTTCCAAAATAGAATAATTGGTTATAATTTGCCAATGTAATCAGTATGAATTAATAAGACATGTTCTAAATGTAAATACTATGACATAGAACCTTGTTAGGCAGCATAAATTAGCATAATTTAAAGTTACTGCCTTTTATGCCAGTTGAGAACTTGCTTGCATTAAGTGCTGTTACAGTTTTTTGGAAACCCCCTGGAAAAGTCCTGAGGCCTAATGTGACCCTGCTCAAGAACTGGCTTCTTACTGGCATGTTACATTGTCTAAAGTTGGTGTGTTTTTAAAACTAAGGGCTGTTTCAGCATTTTGATTTTCAAAAAAAAATTATTTTTTTTTAATACACACTGCTTAGGAACCTGTCTCAGTTCATAAAGCTGACTTCATAAAACAAAATAAAGCATCTGCCTAAAATTTGAACATGAAACTGTCCCATCCTTTCTTACAGGTGCATTGTCATAGAATCATAGTCTATGGTTTGGGTTGAAAGGGCCAAAAGACCATCCAGTCCAACCCTGCTGCCATGGGCAGCACCTCCCACCAGACCAGGCTGCTCAAAGCCCCATCCAACCTGGCCTTGAACACTTCCAGAGATGGAGCATCCACAACTTCCCTGGGCAACAGAGAAGATTTTACACATTTCATTTATAAAATTAAGACCACTTACAGTTAATATCTGTAGGTATAAGCAACACAAAGACTCCTATTTTAGCAGGTAGTGGAAAGCTTGTATTGGCAAGTTCATGATTTCTCTGAAGTCCTCAGCAGGATAACCTTGAACACTGCAGTAACACAAATGAACTTACATTTATAAATGCAGAACAGAAGCACTTGGAGACTAATTTAAAAAGCTCTATAAACTGGGAGCTTATCAGGTGAAATGAGTAATTGTATACTGAAGTCACTGTGCTTCTCATCCACTCTGATCATAAGCCAACTGGTGTGAGGTAACTAAAAAAGTAAGCAGTATCATCCTCCAGGGCAACAGGAGAGGGTTTTCACCAGTGCTGCGGAAATACTCTTCATTGTACCAAACCTGAAACCTCATCTGGAAATTCTGCCTACAGCTCTGTCATCTCCGTTCAAGAAATACTAACTGAACGGGGAAGATGGACAGATAATAGCTGCTAAGATGATTCAGGGGAAGGAGCTGTCGTTTCTGAGAAGGACAGCTAAAAGTGTTTGGCTTGTCTGAGCTGGGACACTGAAGGATCGTGTTCCCTGCAAGATAGGAGCTGGCATGGGAGAGGAGGAGGGGGGTGAGACGGTTGCTGTCAGTGCCAAGGAGAAAGGGAAGTTACTCAAACCAAAGGTCAGTGCTGGTACAGGAAAACAAATGGGCTACAGAAGAACAAATGCAGCGCAGAGTGGACAAATGGAAACTTAGCAGTGAGAATTACTAAGGAATAAACGGTGCGGCACATCCACCCGTGTGTGAAAATACCTATTGGCAAGAGGAGGATGGGACTCATCAAGTTGGAGTTCTTTGGGTGGTTTGATTTTTAATTTAAGCATTCATACAGGAAGAAAAGCTTTGTCTTAAATGCTTGATTGCAATTCCTCCAGTGATTGCAAATGTGAAGCACAGGGACAAGTTGCTGATGGTATCTAATTGCCCAAATTGTGTGGTTTCTGAGATTCAGAACTGACACTGCCGTATCTTCACTCTTTGAATTGTTCACCTCTTGTTCTTCTGTGAGCAGTTGTGACTCCATACTGCTGCAGCAAGTACGTCATCTTCTCTGGTGTATTGAGGATTTTTATGTGCACTGTGCAGGATTAACAACAGCAAAGTGGTTCCTATCATCTGGACTTTTAGCATCTCAGTAAAATGTAATGCAAATTATTTAATATGCTGATGTAAATATATGGAAACAATTTAGTTATGATCATGAAGCTCTGGTGTATTTGGACACACATAATTCAGTCTGGTAAGTCAGCAAGTGTCAAAATAGGGAAAATGAGTTTTTTTTAATCATGTCAGCTGCATCCCTTGTAAGTTGTTCTCATCTAAACAGACATTTCAAAAAAGTCTTTCTGCAAAACTGAACAGCACATTACAATGCTTCCTCGGTCTGCCTGACTGGCCAATGAATGTTCAAACAACGTATGGAAACTGTTGTTTTTTAAAAAAAGTGCCTGCATATGTGCATATATATATTCAAGGGGAACCTTGAGACTGTATGTGTATTGCTTCTTCACAGTATACAAGATCACTGCCAAACAGCTGTAAAGTTTCATATGGAGTCCGTTCAATTTGGTCATATGGACGTTCACATAACTTCAAAAATAACACAGATAACCGAGTTGACAGCCGGATCCCCCTGCAGATGTTGAAGATGGCTGCTTTTAAGGAGTGCTTTGAAGTTTATTCTTAAACTTCAAGTTTACATCCAAGTGAAATGAAAATTGTTCTTAATAATAAAGAAAACGGTTTTTTTTATTTTCTTGACAATAACTGATAATGGTGGGGAATCTTTTGTAAGTTGAACAGCATAATATAGAAGTAACCATTGTTTGTGGGCACCATTGCTGGGACAAACAGCGATGGTAAAGCACCGTGCATTAAGGTTACCATTCCTGTTGCATTGCAGAAGCATTAAACGTGTTTTCTGTTTTCTTTTAGGAGCTTTTCCTCCACTGCAGGGTCAAACAAAAGCTGTTTCTCGGGAGATGACCCTCAGCAACCTGTGGCTAGTCGGCATACAATCACTTGCGTTTTTGTCAGGCGGTATGTGGTACTGCATCTTTCAGTATTTTTATCATTGCCTATTTTAAAAGTGGAATGGGACCTGAGGACACAGTGGGAATCCAGGCTCTTGCAAATGAATATCATGTTGTATGTGCAAATGTGAATATTCAAGAGTAAAGGAAAATACTGGACGGACTCTTACCTCTCTTTGGGGAAATTTTAAACTCTGCTAAAAGTGAAGATCAGTAACATAGTGACCTGACGATGTATTATTTTAAGAATTGTCTGTATTTTTAAAAATGCATATCCTCACCCACACTTAAGCAAATTCAGCATTTGGACAAAAGGTGCAATCGTACAACCACCGTAGAAGAATGTCTGTGACAAGAAAGCTCTGTCACCACAAGTATTTCTTGGCATTGTAGTTAGAACTCCAAAAATCCAGCAACTTGTCTCTTCAGTAGTCTGTGCAGCATTGGTGTGGTAGAGTTTCCTCATTTGCACAAACGTGTACTTCATTGCAATTCATTGTGCTGGAGTCAAAGATACTCGACGGAGCTGGTGGCGGTATCTTCGCGGCCACGCAGTCAGCAGTTGTTGTGCTAGACACATTGATCTAAACCCAAGACCCAAACACGATCCAGCGTCAGGTGTGTTTTGTGAGGAATCGGTCCTCAAAAAAGCATCGCAGCATCTTGGTGTCATTAAAAGCTGTCCACGTGTGATGAATCAGCCCATCCCTGCTGTGGTCGTACCATCAGCTCTCCAAATTCTGTGTGCCACCAGTATCTCGTATTATGAGGAAACTTGGAAAATATAAAGTCACTAGTTTTATTTTCCAGTTTTTGTTCAGAAGGCATCTCAGTGATCATTATCAGTTTTCAAAATGCACTTTCAAAGGTGAAAATACAGTGAAGGAAAGACATGAAAGTTAGGGAATAGGAGAAAGCTTTATTTGTCACACATTGGAAGCAATTGTAGCTGTTTCTGAAGGTCTGCTGGTGCTGCTGGTGATTTTTAGCCACCTTTGTATTTTGTATACTGCAGTCCAACCAAGGTGACCTTTGAGTGGTTCATAGAGGCCTTTTCTCTCCCCACTAGTTGCAACAGCACTAAATATATTTGTGGGAGAGTTTAAATAATTCAATGCCAACCATCTTAATGTTTTGTTAAGGAGTATTAGAAGAAAAACTAGTTTCTTAAAAAGAAAAAAATAGGTGTAATTGCTATCATAAATCTACAGGAAGATACTACTGCAAAAAAAAAAAGAAGTATGGTAAATACTCTGAATAACTACATAGAGAGCAGTATTAATTAGCTCACCACTGTGCTAAAATCTTACTGGAAGAAGGATGAGTTGAATTTAAAGGGAAACTGGAACAGAGGACACTTTCAGCTGTGTAACGTAGGATACTTTTGGAAGGAGGTCTTACTTCTGGCAGGTCTTGCTGGCGTTGTGTTTATGTGATTATACACAGATTTGAGAGAGCTGTTCCTAAAATAAAACTAATCTCTCTAAATACAAGCAGGATAGCCAGAACTTCAGATACTGGCACACTGCCTTTTACAGAGTAATTTTACTGAGAACAAAATAAGCCCTCGGTAGTTCTGGCTCTGAGTGAGCAATATCGATACCCCCCCCATCTCTCTCCCCCTTCTCCTACGTGAATTGCAGCGAGTGGCGTGCAGAATACTAAATCCAGCCAGCGTTTCCTTTGCGGAGGGGAGCTAAGAGCATACCAAAATCTGAGGCAATGCCAGTTTCCCTGGCTTAATGGAAAAATACCTAGTCAAATAGGCCACCCCTATATCCCCCAAAAGCAGTAGTTTTATCCTAAGGTAGCTCAGTGGGATGGTTGTGAAATAACACCCCATGGTAAGTTCCCCTGAACTACAAGTCCCCTCATTGACTGAAAAGAACCACTGCAGCTGGGAGGCAAAAGGCTGGGCTTGCCTATGGCTTCACGTTTTAGCTAAGATCCTGTTCCTAAATCCCATCTCTCTACCCCCAGTCACACACCTGAACTCTGGTGTCACGTCAAATCCATTTTAAGAGAGGTGTGCCCTGAAAGGGAGGCAGTCTTGGGAGTATTTTGTTTTTTCCTGTTGCTCTTGCTGAAGTACAGCTGATGGAATGAATGTATTTAATCTGCCATTTCACAGGAGAGTGCTGGGGCAGCCCAGCACCGTGACCATGTGAGTGGTTGCATCTGCTGCACATGGGCGTAAACGGACTCGCAAAACCACCAGATGCAGATGGGAAGCTGCTCGTTTCTGTCCTCCCCCAGGTGGTTTGATCAGAACCACAGAGGTGCCCATAGTACAGCTGGTTTTATTTTGAGCCAGGACAGACTGGAGTGATATCAAAAGGGAAGTTTATATAAGCAGATTGCACAGCAGTAACTCGCACCATGAGGTTGTTCTTTATGGACCTTGTGAGCTCCGTGTCAGAGCATACTGTTTTTTCTAATGCAGTATTTTTTTTCAGTGGATCGCAGTCGATAGTGAGTGTTCACATGCTGCCTAAAGAAATTAGTGATGCGCAATAACGTTTCAGATAATCATTTGAGTTATCTGGTCCTGTTCATTTTCAGTTTGTTCCTCCATAGTTCTTACTATTGCTGGACATTTGTTTTCAAGCACTGATTGTTGTTTTGGTAGGGTGAGTAAAAATAGTATTAGGTCTTAGGCTTCTTTCCTGTCTGCACTTGAAAATGTGAAGGGAGCCTGAAGTTGTGTCTCCTTACGGCTGAGCTGCTGCAGATGACAGTGGAATGAAACTGTTGAGAAGAAACTCCTGAAGTACCCTCCCAGTGTGAACTTGGATGCTGCTTCATGAAAGAGAATAAATTGGATAAAAGAAGTTTTTCTGTTATGGGGAAAAACATGAAAAGTATGCCATATATAGAAAATTCTGCGCTAAAAATACCATGCTGGTCAAGACTGTTTGGAGCTTAGCAGGGTGGTCTGTCAAACCTAAATTCCTGTCGGTTGCAGTTGGGTTCTACCTTCTGGCAGGTGGCGGTACAGCAGTACCGTTGCAGTGGGCATATGGCCGCGCCATCCACGGGCTTGCTCGTCTGAAGAGCTCAAACTGCATTTGATAGAAAATGATGTTAACGAACCATACAGTTGATCACAAAATGGTTAATTAATATAACTATGAATTGATATTAGGAGAAATGTAATGAAAGAATGCATAAAGTGATACAGAATGAAAAAATTACCAAAAAAGGCTAACTGAAAGGCTGTTGCACGCAGAAGTGAGAACACTGCAATTTAAGCGTATTGCGAATAAAGCTGGTTCGCTGCTGGGGTTGCACACAAAACATCCCTACATTTCGGTGTTTACTTGTTCATAAACAAGTTGTTACCATTGAAAGGACGTTAAGTCCTCATGGTTTAGCATTGCTGTTCTTCAGACCCCATGAGATGCAGAGCGTCTGCCCGTGCACACCGAGCGGTGTTTTGTCGGTGCCCTTTGGTGAGCGTGCCATCCATCCAGGTTCTCGTGGAGCCTGCGTGCAGATCTGTTCAGCTTTTCAACAACCACGGCTCTTGCAGGAGGGATTTCTTTTTTCTTCTTTTTTTTTTTTCTTTTTTTTCTAAGTTGCTCTCACCAGATTTTAGAAAGCGAGATTTCAATTGCCCGTGCTCACTGGAAAATTAAAAGCTTCCTTCTCCCTCCTCCACCCCCTGCATCAAAACTAAGATGCATCTTATTGCAGTAAGAATACAATGATCACTGTGGTACTGTTCATTATTCACTTGTTTTGCAAATGATGTAACTTTTTTTCCTCTCTTGACACTGCCATAAAGTGCTGTTAACTTTTTTCACCTGTTTGTACGAGATAATACAGATACCGATCACTGTGTGTGACAGGATTCAACTGCTCCACTTTGCCTTGACATAAAATTTTGGGACCAAAGGTACTTAAAACTGGGATTTCTGAATCATGAGACTGGGGTTGGGTGCGTTCTCTGAGGAGTCAGCTGGAGATTTTGTGGTGATGTGATACGATCACACAAAATAATTATCCATCTGGGGTACTGTATTGTTTGGAAATAATGGAGCCATATGAAATAAAGGATTATTTTGCAAAATTACATATTTGATAGTTTTTACACTTTTTGTTTTAAAAGAACAATTGGAAGAGCAAAATTGAAAGTGCACTCTGGTTTAAAATGTCATCCATTGTGAACACTTCTGAGCAGCTTTATTTTTTTCTGTAAAAACTGTAGGCTACCTGACTGTGATACACAAGAAGTCTCGAAAAGGATCCTATGCATTTTAAAGTTCAACATTTTCTTTTACCATTGGATAATGGAGTAATTATACACTGAGCAACTGTCCTAGTAAAGTGAGTTAGTTCCTTAAAATTACTCTACAATGGTGTTCATTTTGTATGACAAAAATTAGTTTTCTTGATACCAGTTATTTTCACCTCCGATTTTCTCCTTCCCTCCTGTGTTACCTGCATTTTTGTTTTGTATGATAAAATGGATGCAGAAGCCTGTAGTGACTCTCAATGATTTTGCAAAGGGCTGGTCGTGTTGGGAATTCTTTTATTGAGTTTATTTCATTGGATTTTTTTATACAATCTTTCCAGCAGCCAAGATGTCTTTCAGAAATACAGACAGATACCAGCAGCAGCATTTCTCTACAGAGATTATTAGGTGTCTTTTCCCGTTATTTTTTTTTGTGGCAAAAATAAAGTTGATTCTTTTTCAAGATTATTTCTTGTGCTTCTAATCCGTACTAGATGAGATTATTTTCTTTGGTTGTATTTATTGTGCTTATATCCAGTAGGTACACAGTCTCTGTTGCGCTTACCCTAAACACCACAAATAGCAAAATAAGGCTTTGGTTGGCTCTACAGCTGCAGTGCCAGATTGTGGGAGATAATGTGCTTGTTAGAGCTCTCCTCAGGAAGGACACAGAGCCCAGTGTTTCTTGGCCAGGAGTGGTAAGGGGAGGAGTGGAGCAGTGGGGAGGAGGGGGAAAGCAGCTTCTGCAGCCCTGGCTCTCTCCAGCCCTCGCAGGGAACTGTGCTGGTGCTTAAGCCACAGTTTCTCCATGGGTCAGTGCGTAGCGATGATTCCCCTTGAAGTCTCTGAGAGTTGAGAGCGCACCAAGAGCAGAACCTGGGCCCACATCAGCTCTGGATTGCCACCGTCCTAGAAAAATGTGAATCCAACCTCTTTGTGAGCAAGGCTGTAGTTGTTTTGTAGATACATCTATTTTTTAACAGAGAGGTGTTTTTAAACAACTTGAGCTAGGCAAAGCAATATCGAGTGGAGCAGCGCTGTTCGTTCTGCGGGCCTGGCATCCCTCGCTGACGATAGCTCCGTGTCACCGTGCGTGGTAACTACTGGTGCGTAATACTGCAATATCTAACAGAGGAAAAAGAAACTCCTTGGAGCATAGGAAGACATCTCGCACAATTTCCAAAACAGCGCCGTGGTTGTAGTTACATCTACCTCTTTGTTTCCCTGCTGGGTTCTGTCTTGTCTTTCTGTGTGGTATTTTGCTGTGAGGGGTGGGGACAATGGGGGAGAGGGAGGGAGAAAGTGGGAGGGAAAACTTGAAATCTGAATACAAGACACTGGTGGGGGATCCAGTGCTTACCAGCTGTGTTGTCATATTGAAAAAGCCATTGTTTTTAATTCCTGCCTAGTATGAAATGTTTGTTTTAAAAAACCCTTCCTGCTGGAAAGAAAAATGTATTTTTAAAAAGGAAAAAAAAAATCCCTCTCTTGGCTATGAGAATGTCAGCTGTATGAGTTGTGACCATATCATGACATGCTGATCAGATATAAATAAATTTTTATCTCTCAGGACTCTATCTTGTATTTTTACTCTTTTGGTAACTCTCACAGGTTTTCTGAAAGGATGCTCTGCATTTTTTAAGATCACTAATTTCAGCTGAGGCAGCAAATAAAAAAGGTACGTGAATGTTGTTTGTGCACACTCTGGTTTACAAGGAAACATTTCTTGTTCATTTAAAAACAAATCACTCTGTGAAATGTCCAGAAAGCCTCGCTGCGGGTTTGCCCGGGGCACAAGGCAGATGCTGCAGTTAGGTTCCAGTTCCAGGGGTTCTCTTCCTCTCCCTCTCTCTGCCCCTGAGAGCTGCTGGGAGCTTTGAATATGCCATGAATAGCATGCTTAGCCCACGGGACACACAGAGAGAGGACAGAACTGT